GCCTGTGACCATGGCAGCCTGTGACCATGAGAAGAAGCTGAGTCAGTGCTTTATAATCTTTATTTATTGTCACTGTTTTTTGATCCTAAACAACGAATCGTCAGCACACCCAAGCCAACTCTCTCAGGATTACGATGTCACAGTTTGAAAAAAGGTGAAAGATTTGACTGATTTATGTCTCACACACATCTGCTGAAAGCTTTGGATCCTCTCCTCTCACTACGAAAGGTCCACATGTTTCTTCATTTTAATATTTGATTATAATATGTGATCTGAACAGAGACACGAGGCGGCTCTCTGACGCTCAGGAGGAAATGAACATGGACGTTTAATGAGGTGATGAGTGATGACGAAAGCAAGCAGACGATGATACTGTGGCCCTGAAGGTCGATGCCACAAATATTTAATTTCACTCAAAAACATTTAAAATTAACGTAAAAATATTTCAAGAAATGTTTTTGACCTTCTATGAAAATATTCAAAATTCTACAAAACATATTTCAACTTTTACGAAAAAAAAATGTTAACTTCTACGAAAAATATTTCAACTTCCACGAAAAAATATTTGAACAATGAAAAAATATTTCAACTTTTACGAATTTTTTTTTTTAATTTCTACGAAAAATATTTCAACTTTTCCCAAAAAATATTTCAACTTCTATGAAAAAAAATTTAAACTATGAAAAAATATTTAAACTTTTATGAGAAAAAAAAATTAAACTTCTACGAAAAATATTTCAACTTGCACGAAAAAATATTTCAACTATGAAAAAATATTTAAACTTTTACAAAAAATATTTCAACTTCGAAAGTGTTTCAGAGAGATTGTTAAAGTGAGCTTTTGATGTTTCCAGATTCATTAATGGAGAAAAAAAAATCAGACCGAGGACGTTTCAGTCTGCAGTGAAGCAGCCTCATAGGTCGTTACACTCTGTTTGATTCTCTCTGACTGTCTGTGCTTCTTCTTCTGTCTGTCAGCAGAGAGGAAGACGAGTGCAGCTGCCTTCAAAATAAAAGAGCAGATTTAAGTTCAACGGTTTTTTTCCTCAATGTCTTTGAATTCTTCCTGGAAAAACACAATGATTGGTGGGGCTCTATGGGGACTGACTCACTGCAGGAGACAGACTCTAGTGGACACTGGAGGAACTGCAGTTTTTGACACTTTAGCCTTAGTTTAACGTGCTGCTTGGGAAAATTTGCACTTAAAAGTTGATTTGCCAGCTGCAGGCTCTGGCTCTTATTTTGAAAGAGCTACCCGGAAGCCCAGTGTGTGTTGGTCTCGCGAACCTGACAGTCTGGATGTGGCCGCAGAGAAACGGAGCTCAGCCTCATTTCTGCGGATTTTCTGGTTCTGCTGAAGAAGCTGCCGCTCGATCCGGATCATCCTAAGAGGAGAGTCCGAACAGAGCCGAGCCGAACTGAGCCGAGCCGAGCCGAATAGGAATACAGACAGACAGATAGACAGACAGACAGACAGGGAGACAGACAGGCTGCTTCATCTCCTCTTCCGAAGCCGGAGTCATCCTCCCGGTAAGAACCGCTTTTACACACATACACAACGTTACGTTGTGCGTGTGTGTGTGCGTGTATGTGTGTATGTGTGCGTGTGTGTGTGCGTGAATGTGTGCGTGTGTGTGTGCGTGTATGTGTGCCACTCCCTTCCATCCTCAGCTCGTCGGTGGTTCTACCTGCAGACAGACAGGCAGGTGACCACGAGCTCGACCAGCTGATTTACTCAGTTCTGTATTATTTATGTGATATGATATTTAATACGTTTTATATGATGTGTGATGTCAGCGCAGGTATGTGTCTCAGGTGTGTTACAGACACACACACGCACGCGCGCGGATCATGAAGGTCACACGTGATTATTACAGCTGATTGTGAGGTGAATCTGTTCAGTGTGTTTCCAGCTGATCAGAGAATGTGGGTCAATAATCCGTCTGTTCAGATCGATATGAATATTTCCGTTTTATTACAGAACCAATGAAAATACTCTCAAATCTCTGATTATGTTGAAGGAATAATGTAGTAATAATAATAATAATAACATGATAAAGATATTTAAGCTTGATGATGATCTTAGCCTGAATCTCCATGTGCTCCCTGTGAGCCTGAGAGAATTCCAGATGTTTCCATATATTTAATAAAGATGTTTATCTTGTAACTTACGGAGGCTGACATGTGCAAACGCTCGCCAACGACCATGACCAGAAAAATGTGTCTCGCTTTAACTTGCTGTGACTTAAACGTTTAATCTTCAGACTTTTATTACGATATAAAATATGAAGGAAAAACGGACTAAACCTGTGATACATGTTTCTGTTGAGCCTTGGAAACAGCGGATGTTCCGTCAGTGACTACGGCCCCGTGTCCACCTAGTGTCTGAGCTGCAGCGTCCATTTCTGTTGATTTCAAGGGGTAGATGGCGTTCGTCGTCCGTCTCTGATTGGGATAAAATTGATCGCAAATATAAAACCTGCAGTAAAAAAGTCACGGCGCCGTGTCTGTCGTACAGCGGCCATTGTCACATCAAAGAAAGGAGCTACAGGTCGGACTCGAACCTGGACCGCCCACTTCAAGGACATCACCCTCTGTACACAGGGCATACAAATTGTTTTTGAGCAGGTCAGACAGCGTGCAGGAGTTTGTCTGCAGAGTTTATTTAAAAAGAAGAAATGAGTCCACACCAGACGTCAAGGACTTCAAAGTATCCGGTAAGGTTTTAGGTGATCCAACTTTAACGTCGGGTATCCATGACGACCGTTATCGGATCACATATAAATATAAACGTTTTTCTTTCCCTTCTTCATATGAAGCTTCTGACTAAAACATCATTATGAACGGTTACTAACGACATCCTGTGAAGGGTTTGGATTCTGAGCAACCATCTGGACTAAGTTGGCGTTTTCCCCGGACCTCCAAAACCGCTGTCAGCTCCTCTCAGAGTGCGACACAGATCTTTGAAAGCCTTTTCAAGTCCTCTTCTAAACTGATGTTTTTTCTGTTTCTTGTTTTTTCAGGAGATGCCGTGTGTGTGTTTCCTTCAGGACAGTCTGACCTCGGATCAGTGATGTGTGTGTGACCTCTTTGAGGTCCTGTGAGGTGGATCCAACATGGCCGCTGTGTGTGGCGCAGTGGTCGCAGTGTGTGTTAGCGTCCTGCTGCTGCCGGCTGTGAGCGGTCAGTGTGAACACTCAAACTCACCTCATCATCACACCTTCATTTAGCTTAGCTTAGCATAATGACTGGAGGCAGAGGAGAACTGTGACAGTTTGATGTTAGACAGCAGAACTCCACTTCCCATCATGCACTGGTGTCAGACCTCAGAAACATTAGACAGTGTTGTGCTGGGTGTGTAACAGGAAGAGCTTGCATTCCTGTCCAGTCATTTAAGGAATCATTTGGGGAATTAACTCCTCACACACACACACACACACACGCAAGCAAACACACACACACTCACACACACACACACACACGCGCGCACACACGCACACACACAGTGACGTCAGTAAGTCTGTCCGTTTTTGTGTGTTTTCGTTGTAATGAGGGCGATAAGATGCTTACAGACACACACTCCACCTTCCTCCCATTGTGTGTGTGTGCATGTGTGTGTGTGTGTGTGTGTGTGTGTGTGTGTGTTTGTGTGTGTGTCTGTGTGTACTCACAGGAGACTAAACAGAGACCCTTCCTGGCTCCGACTCTGTGTGTGTGTGTGTGTGTGTGTGTGTGTGTGTGTGTGTGTGTGTGTGTGTGTGTGTGTGTGTGTATGGCGACGCTGATTCTTCTTAGAAGTTAAGATTTGACAGGAAACTTTCTGATTGTTACACGCCTGATTATTTCTCGAGAACTGATTCTCAGAGATTCTCAGTGCGTTGTAGACACCCCCCACATTCCTTCGTCATCCGTCCAGGCGAGCGACAGAGAGGGAAATAGAAACAGGCCTGCAGCGGTGAAAACAGGAAGTGTTATCGTGCTGCTTCGTGCTGCTTCGCTCGCAGGCTGTGAAGACACTGAAATAGAAAAACATGTAATCAATCTGATTTTGTCACTGATGCTCGCTCGCATGGCGTGCTGTGTGTCAGAAAGGGAAAGACCTAACCACGGAGCGGGGACCTTTCAGAGGGTCTATGGAACCTTTCCTGCACGTCATTCCACGCTCTCTCCCCGATTTCCAACTCTATCCATCCACTGTCATTTCAAAATAAAGGCAAAAAGTCCCCGTCCCTTTTGAACCCGGGGTTGATTTGGTGTAGTCACCCTTTAATCACCCTGAGCTCGCTCCAGATAAACTGTGTGTTCACTGTGTGTGTGTGTGTGTGTGTGCGTGTGTGTGTGTGTGTGTGAGAGTGTGTGTGTGTGTGTATGAGCGTGTGTGTGTGTGTGTGTGTCACACAGCTTTGATGTACTTGTGGTCTGATCGTCTTCTGCTGTTGCTACGGCGACACTCCACATCAAACATGTGAGGAACATTTGAGTTAAAGACGCTCTGCTGTCCAACATTTAAAGTCTGAATCTCAGCAGCTTCGTGCTGTCAGCGCCGTGTGCAACACGGCGGAAGCTACGCTAGCTTCGTTAGCTTCGTTAGCTACAAAGCATGATGGTTTCACATGTAGGACAGATTTGTTTCTCTACTTCCTGACTTCTTGAGTTGATATTAGGAATGTCATGACACCAGAATGTTAAACATTCTGAACATATTTATTAGATATGAAGAGTGAAGAGAGACGGGAATTGTTGAGAGGAGAGAGAGAGAGAGGGGCGCAACAATCTGCAAAGGGCGAGGTCGGGTACAAACTTACAGCTGCCGCGTTGAGGGACTACAGCCTCCAACCACGAGGCTACCTGGCACCCCGATTCATATCCAGATCGATTTTTTACGCCCGGGAACAAACAAAGACGTTGTTTCCAATTATTATAAGTTGCTCACGTTCTAAATTGCAACAAAGGAAAAATATAAAATATCGTTTTCAACCAACGGTAATGAAGTTTTCAAAATGTCGACCTCCCTTCACGGTAGTTTGAACGTTTAAATCGTTTCTCAGTTTAACGTTTTCCTGACCTCACGTTGCAGAAAACGTTCAGTCCCAGCCGCTGACTCACGGAGAAGCTGTGAGTTTGTGTAAAAGTTTAGCGGTTAGCGTCCTGAGAGACGCTGCAGAGATGTGATGTTGGGACATTGGATTAATGGAGCCGGTGTAGGAGAGCTTGAGCAGCCTGAGGCGGCTCGCTCGCTTGGCCTCTGTGACTCCACACCATGACTAAATGCATCATTATTTGTTGCTGTCACAGTTTGCACCACACAGGGAGGCGGTGTGTGAGCCTCAGTCTCACTGGGCTGCCAGAGTCTGCTCCACTGTTACAGCAGAGCGATGGGTTAGAGGGAGGAGTGCTTACCTTTCGCCACTACTGCAACTATTCTGTCTCCTGTACCACAAGACCAATCAAATTACAGCTGCAACCTGATGTTCATACCACCATACGATCAAGTCCTTAAATATTGAAGTCCTTCTCTCTTCTGACAGCAGCTTGCATGGAGGGACTCGGGAATATTCAGCGTCTGAGATTGAGAGTTTGCATCTTTCCAACAGCTTAAGGGAAAATATTCCCCGGCACCAAGCAGCAACCTCAGATGCTGCAGTTCCTCGAGTGTCCACTAGAGGCTGGCTGCAGAAGCACAGGAAGTCACATACACACCCATTCTAAAAAGCCTGTTTTTACAGCAGAGATGAACATGTTTACAGCCTGGTTCAAAAAAACAAATAGTTCTGATTAGCTCATGTCTCGATCAGCACACACTGTAGGGGGGAGGGGGTGAATGTTGATGACTCATCAGTTTTAAAGGTTTAAAACCCGCCTCAGCTCCAGCTCTCAGCCTGTTGTTAGGTTGACTGAAAGTTAGGGTGAGACAGCATTTCCAGCATTGAGACCACCATCGATGGGACTCCAGCGCCCCCTGCAGGAACAGACGGGGACGTTAATGTTCTGAACCAGTCTGTGATCCTTCACATGGGTCCAGATAAAACGAGATCACACAATAAAGAAGTCAATAGATGAATAAAACAATAAGAATAACTTTTAGTATTTCTGGTTCCTTCTTGTGAAACCTGTTTGTCTTTTTCACCTTCAGGTTTTCAGTCCGAGGAACGAGAATGTGCCTTCACCGAAAACCTTCCAGTGGCGGATCCTCACAGTGGATCAACCAATAAACTTCGAGGAGTGGTGCGAGAAAACGGCACAGTTCGCTGCAGCCGCGGCTCGCGCTGCTATGGATTGTGGGAAAAGAGAGCAGACGGGGAAATACACCTGGTGAACCAAGGTGAGAGAGCGAGAGAGAGAGAGAGAGACACCAACAGACAATCTGACCCTGTGTGGTGTTCATGTTCAGTCTAACCTCGTGGTGTGTTCAGGTACAATCTGACCTAATATTGTTGTTTTCCAGGTTGTTGGGCTCTACAGCAGAAGTGTAATGGCGATCGTTGCCTGGTAACGGCGACGCCCTCTGAGATCCAAAATGGCAACTTTAGGTTCTGCTGCTGCAACCGAGACCTCTGTAACGCCAACTTCACAGAGGCCCCGCCCACCGCTGACACCCCCGCCCTGAAGCCGATAAGGAGAGATGGTCCAGACGACGGACAGACAGGTGAGTGAGTCTCTCTGTTCTGACCAATCACTCGCCTCCTGCTGGATGCATGCTGTTCACTTCATTGATAAAGCTCCGATTCAGAAAAAAATAAATGAAGCAGGTGAGGAATCTGGGCGGAGTTACTTGGTGACAATGGTTAACCGTCCTCATGCCCACATATGGTAATTTCAGGTGACTTTCTGACTTTTGGCGAAAGTTATCTTTCTGGATGCACAACTTTGTGTGTGTGTGTTAGTGCCATATGATCTTCTTTGCAAGCATACTCAAACGTGTATCCAAATATACATTTGATCAAATTACAGAATTACAGAATGTATGTGTGTGGGGATGATGTCACACCTTGTGGCCCTTCTTCATGTTTTGCTTTTTCTTGAGTCTGTGATGTCACAGTGATTTCATCGTCCATGCAGATCACCGACATCTGAGGCAGGCGCTCATCGCCCTGTTGACTGTCGCTGTAGCAGCCATCGCCATCGTGGCATTGTTCCTAGGATACCGCATGATGAGAGGTACACAAGCAAACACACACACACACACACATATACACACACACACACACACGGTTCATTTGCCTAATTGGAGTCATTTCCATCCAGTGATTGATCGTTTATGTTGATCCCGTTGTGTTGTTGTTGTGCTGGATAATCAGAATATTAAGATAGATATAATTTGCAGATGATGCAGTTAATTGTTTGTTTGTTTGTTTGTTTGTGTTTCCAGGGAAACAGAAACACAGTCTGTCAGCTCTGGATGTCATGGAAGCTGCAAACTCAGACTCTGTCGACCTGGATAATCTGAAACTACTGGAGGTACACACACAACACACACACACACACACACACACACACACACACACTAACACACACACCCACACACACACAAAAACACAAACTAACACACACACACACACACACACAGACTAACACAGACTAACAGACACACACACAGACTAACACGTACACACACACACACACACACACAGACAGACTAACACATACACACACACACACACACACACACACACACACACAGACTAACACACACACACACACGCACACACACACACACACACACAGACTAACACAGACTAACAGACACACACACACAGACTAACACGTACACACACACACACACACACACACACACACACACACACACACACACAGACTAACACATACACACCACACACACACACACACACACACACACACACACACACACACACACACACACACACACACACACACACACACACACACACACAGACTAACACTACACACACACACACACACACACACACACACACACACACACACACAGACTAACACACACACACACACACACACACACGCACACACGCACACACACACACACACACACACAGACTAACGACCTTCTACTGTCTCCTGGCAGCTGATTGGTCGGGGTCGTTACGGTACGGTGTTTCGCAGCTCTCTTAACGAGCGCTGCGTGGCCGTGAAACTCTTCACCTCAGCCAACCGACAGAACTACGCCAACGAGCGTTCCATCTACTGCCTGCCACTGCTGCAGCAACACGACAACATCGCCCGCTTCCTGAGTGCCGACGAGAGGACGACGGCCGACGGGAGACTGGAGTCCCTGATCCTGATGGAGTATTACCCACATGTAAGAAACCGTTCAGAGCTTCCTGCATGTTAGCTGGCTAATGCTGCCGTCTTCTGGAGCATCGTTTTTATTTTCACGCAGGAGTATCGAAACCGTCTGAAGTGAATTCTCTGAGGTGTGCGTCATTACTTGAATCTCTTTCTGTCTCCCTGGTGAAACAGGACAGGAAGGGCGGGGGCTGGGGGGGAGTATGGAGACTGCTGGGTGAAGGGGGGTGCTGAGGGATGAAGGAGGTGTGACAAAAGAGAGCATTGTCCTAAGAGCACACGAGCGTTGGATGTCGCTTTGCATCATGCACAATCACGCTCGCACACACGCTCGATGTCCATACTGCATCCGTTAAATATTTACTTCTCTGGTCTGTGAGTTTCAGTTTCCTCTTGTAAACATGATAACATCTGGTGCTTTTATTTTGAAGGTGGACAAACTGAAGTGTGGTGCTTTTATTTTGAAGGTGGACAAACTGAGGTGTGGTGCTTTTATTTTGAAGGTTTGTGGTGCTTTGTATTGACGAGCTGTAGACTCAAATCTCAACACTCAGAGAGGCTCGCTGTGAGCTGACTCCAGTGTTGACAGAGGTCAAAGGTCAACATTTCAATCATAATGTGGATATTATTAATGCACCACTATCTCCACTTTGAGAAACAAGCTAACGAGCTCTGCTGAGGAGGAGAGAGAGAGTTGGCACCCCCTCCTTCCCCGTTCCTCGTCTGAATATGCGAGCTATAGAGAGGAAAACAGAAACGGGGCATTGAGGCAAAAAACGGCGCACCGCATCCAGCTGTGTTGCTCGCGGGCAGTTTAGACACTCCAGTGGTAAACAATGAAATCAAGCTGATTTTGTCACTGCGGCTCGCTCTAGTAGCACGCAGTTACGACACGCTGTAAGACTGCAGTTTCTTTTATAAAGAGGCTGTAATGAACAATGTTGCCTGTAGGGGGCGCCAGCAGCAGACAGAAACTCTTTCACTTTTCACAGTGGAGGTCTCAGACTCTCCATTAGTTGTGTTATTGTGCTGGAAGACGGCGCCTGAGATCCTACTTCCTGTCTGGAGCCACTGACCACACACACACACACACACACACACACACACACACACACACACACACACACACACACACACACACACACACAAATTCCTCTGTAGCGGTCAGACAGTAATTACTGGATTAACTGTGGACACACGTACACGCAGACTTTGGCGAGATTAGATTTGATCTTAAAGAAAACAGAAACATTAAAGCTCACATCGTGTTTTATAAAAGAGAAGTTTAAGAAAAGATTTTCAGCTGAAAGTTTATGATATTATATAACATGTCTTTATTACCTGTGTGTGTGTGTCTGTCTCTGTGTGTGTGTGTGTGTGTGTGTGTGTCTGTCTGCTTGTATGTGTGTGTCTGTCTGTCTCTGTGTGTGTGTGTGTGTGTCTGTCTGTGTGTATGTGTCTGTCTGTCTGTGTGTGTGTGTGTGTGTGTGTGTGTGTGTGTGTGTGTGTGTGTGTGTCTCTGTCTGTGTGTGTGTGTGTGTGTGTGTGTCTGTCTGTGTATGTCTGTCTGTGTGTGTGTGTGTGTGTCTGTCTGTCTGTGTGTGTGTGTGTGTGTGTGTGTGTGTGTGTGTGTGTGTGTGTGTGTGTGTTTATCTATCTGTGTGTGTGTCTATCAGGGCTGTCTGTCTCACTACCTGTCTGTCCACACGGTGGACTGGGTGGCGTGCTGCAGGATGACTCACGGCGTCACCAGAGGACTGGCCTTCCTGCACACTGAGCTCTACAGAGGAGGTAATCCTCTTCATCACTAAACGTGTTCCTCTTAACAACAGAACTCATGTTTCATCTTTGATTATAAATGTTGACCTCACAATGATGTAATGTAAAATGTATCATTTGTACCATGTCCTCTCAGATCAGTACAAACCCCCCGTGGCTCACAGAGACGTGACCAGCAGGAATGTTTTGGTCCGGGCCGATCTCTCCTGCGTCCTCGCTGACTTCGGCCTGTCCATGAGGCTGACGGGAAGCCGGCCCTGTCGCCCTGGAGACGACGACACCATGGCGATATCTGAGGTCAGGTCATGTGACTGTGTCAGGTGGATTGTTCTAATGATTGGTTGTATCGAAAAGAAGTGAAGCTTTAAAAAATCAGCGACAGATGTTCAGTCATATATTAAAATAACGTGCTTCATATTCACAGGTAGGAAAATACTGACGTTTCTAAAGTCACTTTGGCGTCTCAGAAAGAAGCAAACGTGACGTCTATGTCTCTTACAGAGCAGTTTGTCAAGATATCGGCAACATATTTGTGCAATTTAGACATTCTGCGGGAGTTATTATTGGTGATTAAAATCAGTAACTTAGTCAATATGGTCTGTGTGTGTGTGTGTGTGTGTATGTGTGTGTACAGGTGGGGACGGTGCGGTACATGGCTCCGGAGGTTCTGGGCGGGGCTCTGAACCTGAGGGACTGTGAGTCGGCGCTGAAGCAGGTGGATGTTTACGCTCTGGGTCTGCTCTACTGGGAGAGCTTCAGGAGGTGCTCACACCTGTTCCCAGGTAACCACACACTGCACACAAACATACCGTCAAATCATCAATCTTCTAATAATAGCCTGGACTTATAATTACTACAGTTTATGAAATGAGTCTCCCGCCGTTATTTGGGACAGACAGTTCTTTAATGATTGAAAGAAAAGATTTTAAAACTGTTAATGAGCCCCAGAAAGAATATTAAACTGTACACCATTAGGATATCCATGAATTAATGAAATAACAAATCACTCATTTGATTTTGCTTTGTAAGACAGCATGCAAACAAAATATCAGAAGACAGATTCATGTGGCTGCTTTGTGTGCTTTCAGGTGAAGCAGTACCTGAGTACCAGCTGGCGTTCCAGGCAGAGCTTGGGAATCATCCAAGCTTTGAGGAGATGCAGATACTCGTTGCCAGAGAGAAATACAGACCCAGATTCCCTGAAGCCTGGAAGGAGAACAGTCTGGTGGGTCTGGCTGCTCACTTCCTGTCTTTTTGTTTAACCATTTCCAATCTATTTATTACTCCGCATCATGATTTCTGGACAGGATGCAACAAAGTGAATCTTTTATGGCTGTAGTACAGGAACGACCATTACAGTATTGCTAACGGTACTCTGACTGTGTGCGTGGTTTTAGGCGTTACGTTCCCTCAAAGAGACGATGGAGGACTGCTGGGATCAGGACGCTGAAGCTCGACTCACCGCTCAGTGTGCGGAAGAGAGACTGGCTGAACTCACACTGCTGAGTACACACACTGCAGTACACAACCACAGGTATACACTTGCAGTACACAACCACAGGTACACACACTACAGTACACAACCACAGGTACATACACTGCAGTACACAACCACAGGTACACACACTGCAGTACACAACAACAGGTACATACACTGCAGTACACAACCACAGGTACATACACTGCAGTACACAACCACAGGTATACAGACACACTGCAGTACACAACCACAGGTACACACACTGCAGTACACAACCACAGGTATACACACTGCAGTACACAACCAAAGGTACACACACTGCAGTACACAACCACAGGTATACACACTGCAATACACAGCCACAAGTATACACACACTGGAGTACACAACCACAGGTATACACACTGCAGTACACAACAACAGGTACATACACTGCAGTACACAACCACAGGTACATACACTGCAGTACACAACCACAGGTACACACACTGCAGTACACAACAACAGGTACATACACTGCAGTACACAACCACAGGTACATACACTGCAGTACACAACCACAGGTATACAGACACACTGCAGTACACAACCACAGGTACACACACTGCAGTACACAACCACAGGTATACACACTGCAGTACACAACCAAAGGTACACACACTGCAGTACACAACCACAGGTATACACACTGCAATACACAACCAAAGGTACACACACTGCAGTACACAACCACAGGTATACACACTGCAATACACAGCCACAAGTATACACACACTGGAGTACACAACCACAGGTACATACACTGCAGTACACAACCACAGGTACATACACTGCAGTACACAACCACAGGTATACACACACAGCAGTACACAACCACAGGTATACACACTGTAGTACACAACCACAGGTATATACACTTTAATAAATAGCCACAGGTTCACATTTTCTTTTTCTGATTTCTCTCTCTTCTTAGAAATCTGTCCCAAGGCTGCTGGCCCCTTCAGGTTGGCTCCTCCTCCTCGTACATTGAGGATGTCCAGGTAGGTGTGGTTAAGAATCTCCAGGGAGATGGCCAAGCAGCTCTGGTAATTAAGACAACAACAAGTGGAGCAGAATGTTTTGAAAAGAACAGAAACTCCATCAACTACGAACGCCAACAGGCACAGGTATGACAAGGACAATGGTTGCAAAATGTTAAATAAAACAAACAACTATGACCTTAACTCAGCACTCCCTCTCTTCATGTGTTTGTCAGAGTCAGGCTAGATCGTCCAATCAAGACATCAGAGTGCCGACCAACACTGCCCTGACATCTACCACCCTCCTCCGCAGTGTCTCTGAGTCTGAGCACAACGGTGAGTCGTTGATTAAAGTGATAAGTGTTCCCAATACAAATCCAAATACATTATTCTCCTGTTTAAAAGTAGACTTGTCCTGTGAGACGCTAAGACTGTGTTTCCAATGGCAACAGGCTAACTAGCTTTTCCTGAATCATATGTATAATGGCCACTAGCTGTATAGCTGTAGCTGTGTGCCTTTTCTGTCATACAGATAATGCTAGCTCGTTGACGAACTAAAAAGCCACTGCTGCCACATATACTTTTGGAAATTATGTAATTCTTGCATCTTTGTGCTGGTTCTTTCCTGTTGACCTCCAGGTGGTGCTGTGCCCAGAGTCCCAGTCTGCCTGCAGCTGACAGAAGAAGACTTGGAGGCCACCAAACTTGACCCTAAAGAGGTATCCACTTTTAACTGTTTCATATCCACAGTTTAACTTCAGACCTGATCAGTCACCATGTGGTTAACATGTCCTCTGTCTGTGCAGGTTGATAAAAACTTGAGGGAAAGTTCAGATGAAAACTTGGTTGAGCATTCGCAGAAACAATTTGGTTCAACAGAGCAACAAACTACCAACCTGCTGTACAATAAGACGCTACCAACTGATGAGGTACAACAATTGGAGCTACACCCTAATGAGCTTTTTTTACTTCTGATAAACTGACCGCAAAGTGTTGGCCTTTACAGCTTGTGAATTTAGAAACTACCTCTGTGTTTCTGATAGGTGAACAATTCTGCACGGATTACTCAGCATGACTTGGGGGGTGTTAGTGGGGTGGACTCCCCTCTCTCCTCCTCCATCCACCCCCTCCCCAAACAGCAGAACCTGCCTCAGAGGCCCACCAGCCTCCACCTTCTACCAAAAACTAAGGAGACCCCCTCGGCCTCTTCTCGTTTGAAGCTGGCAAAGCTCAAGTCAAACCACAGACAGGTAAAAGGTTCTGACTAGTGGCATTAGTAGATTAAGATATCGAAGACCTGTTAATATCTGGAGGTCTTACCAGATGAAAATTTAACTAATCTGACTGTCATTGCGTAAGTGTAGCTGGACCATTCATGTTCTTGTGTTCCCTTAAAGCGCCTGACCCAGCCTGTTTCGATTACTGGCTCTTGCAGCTTGAAAATCTATAGAACCATTAACTAATTTGCATATACCTCCTAAAGTATGGGTCTGCCAATGGATTATATAAGCTGTTTCTTATTGATAAAGTTCAGGTCCTTATTGCTCTTGTTGGTGTATGTAGATGATTACAAATATGTTTTGATAAATACAAGGTCTTTGTGCCCGATGGGAAGGATAGGTGCTTAGTGAAGAAACCCCTCATCCCAATAATGCCCCTGCCCTACTAACAACCAACCCAACCCAAACAGCATCGCCACCTTCAACAGACCCAGGCTCGGTTCATGCAACTAGCCAGATGGTTACAACACCAATAATACTGACCCAACCACATTCTCTTTATACAAATATGTTGTTTTATTGCATCTCTAAAACAGAACATAATGTGTTTCAGGTGGAAACAGGTGTTGCTAAAATGAACACAGTTACAGTCGGTTCCGCTGTGGAGCCCCACATGGTGACAACAGTAACAAACAACACCAGCACAAGGGCCAATGTTGCAACTGGGAACCAAATAACGGTGGCCACCGCTGGCTATAGCGCAGGTGTCCCCACCTTGGTGGCTAATGGCATAATAGGTGGAGGTCGAACCAATCCGGCAGGGCCACAGCTGGAGGAGGAAGACAAGACAGAGGGAGGGATAATAGTAGGAGATGTTAACCGTATGAACCTTCTCAACTCCAGTCCTGATGAACATGAACCACTGCTGAGGAGAGAACAGCCTCCTGCTGAGAGTGAACCCCCTCCTCATCTGCATCATCAGCAGACACGAGCTGGAAACATCCTGTCAGGGCGAGGCTCAAACTCCAACAACAACAACAATACAAATGCCCTAAGATCAGACATCAGGATCCAGGGTGTTGAATCTGAAGAAATTATTGGACCAGAGATCAGCAACGGTTTGATATTCAACAGACCAAAACCTGAGCCTCACCAGCAGATTGGTGAATACCTTCCAGTGTCTCCAGTTATAACTCTTGATAATAAGGTTATGCTTTCTAGTCCACCAGAAGTTATACCAGGCTGCAGGGATCAAGATTCTGGCTCAGCACCAAGCTTGGCAAATTCTTCAGAAGTGCTTGTCCCAGAGGGCCAAGAAATGCTAGCTTCACAAGCACAGGACCAGGTTATCATAACCTCAACCTCATCTCCAAAAGATCCGTTTGTAGAGGCCTTAGCCTTTGCACCGGAAATTCAAGATCTGAAAATTCAATCCTCAGATCCAGAAACTCCAGTCTTGAATCCAAGTGTTTCATCTTTAGAGGTTCAGGACTCAAATATCCCAGAATCTCAGCCACTGGAAACTCAAGATCCAGAGAGTACATCTCTGGCAAAAGCTAAAGCGCTACAATTACCCGCCCCGGGAATACAGTCTCCAGTTCTGCTGCGGAACCACAATAGGCCAGCAAAAGCCAAGAGGCCTGTTAGACCCTGTTCCCTGGATTTGTCCACAACCTGCATGTCCTCAGGTAAGTCAAGATTAAATGTAAGGTTTAATGTTTTTTTTTTTAAGTACTTGGATGTTCTTTTAAGTGACTTTATGTTATCATTCATATTAAATAATTACTTTTGTCACAAGTACCTGGTCCTAAAGGAAACATTGTCAGTTATGAATGCAGATTGCCAGCCAGTATAGGACACTAACTTGCCCCAAGAGTAGTCGGTACATCTGCGAGAATCAGGGACCGCTTTTTACGAAGCACTACCAAATGTATTTTTCCGTCTGACCTAACAGTTGGCACCAGCGCAAAATAGACCAGGTAAAACACTCACATTCAGTGGTAAATCTTCAGAAATGGCAGATGCCCCAAAAGCAATATGGTATATAAAACACTTTAACATATTATGTTTTCATGAATGAAATTCTCAAGATGTGTGAATGCACCATCTGCTCAACAAATGTTTTCTTCTTCCCCTCATCAGATGATGTTTCTCTGACAGACGACGGCAGTCTGAGCGCTTCAGGAGAGAAAATAAAACGTCGTGTAAAGACTCCATATACCCTGAAAAAATGGCGTCCTGCCTCATGGGTCGTACCCACGGATACAGCCTTTGACCCTGACTTCGAGTTCAACACCAGTGGCAGTAGCAGCATTCAGAACCACTTTTCTTCTGGTCCTCTGAGAGCTGGAAGCTTTGGCATCCCTAAAATCAATCAGTCAAAATCAAGCATGGCTGTCTTTTTGGTTGGAGGTGGAGCCACGGCGACCACAACCTCTGAGCCCGATGGAATGACCTGTTTCTAAAACTGTGGGATTGATGTTTTCTTTTTTAAAACTTTTTTTTTCTTCCTTTCTTTTTATCATCCCTGTTGTGGAAAATAAGGACTGTCTGCTGCCCCCTTTAGCCTCCCCAACAGAATCTGGACCTTACCCTGAATAAGAAGCAACGAGTGAACAACAGTGAACCACAGTGACGCTGTTCTGTGGTTTTATGACAGAAGTCATGGGATATGAGATCCATCAAATTATAGGGACAGTTTACACAAATTAGAACAGCAGTTGGAGTTTGGATTGCTGGTTATATTTAAATGTTAATGATTCAGTTTGAGACTTTAAGGAGGTTTGCCACAGATACGACAGTCCATTGACCATTCGTCATCGAGCTTTGAGGCTCATGTCCACAATGTCAAAAATATATATTTCCATTTTTTTGAAGTGAGAAGACTCTACTTCTACTTGACCTCTGTTGTGTCTAGTCTTCTGGCTTGTGAATTGGCTTGTACCCAGAAGCTAAAAAGTCTCCATAGATGATTTGGTGAAAGAAGTCTGTGCAAGTTCTCATGTCATCCAGGTCATGGTAAATTCGAAGCTTGATCCAAAGGCAACTGGACTGGTTGAAGATCTTGAAGACGTTTCACCTCTCATCCGAAAGGCTTCTTCAGTTCCACTAGAAAGTTTAGAAGTGAAGAAGCCTTTCGGAGAGGTGAAACTTCTTCAAGATCTTCAACCAGTCCAGTTGCCTTTGGATAGAGCTTCGGATTTGGTGAAAGAGATTGATAGATTTTTGGGGTCCCATGGTTCTACTGTAGCCAGTGCTAGTGGCTAGTATGCTAACAGCGACTAGTAGTAATTTTGCTCTGACTATCTTGAGGACTGACTTTTGTAATCCTGGTTCGTTTTCGGCCCCTTGCAAAGTCAGGGAACTTCTGTAAATCTTGACGGCTTCCATTCATTGTGGCTTATGAATCTTGATTGGTGTTTTGGTGAAGGAGGTTCAAAGCTGTAGACCTCAGGGGTCCCATGGGTTCACCTGTTAGTAGTAGATGTGGTTAGTAACGAGTGGTATTAGTGCTAACCCTATCAGAGAGCTAAAGTTGCTCATGATCCTGTTGCAGCTAGTCTTAGGGCTTTTGTTTTGGCGGGTTGCCTGTGGGTGTGGCCTTGATTTAAAACAAGGATTGAAGTCCCCCCCCATGACTTGGAAAATCTCTTTCAGTTTAACATGCAGTACAGGAGTACTTGGGTTCAGTCTCTGACTGTAGCAAGTTAGGGTGTTCAGTAGTTTGTCAGTGTGACAGGAGAGGATTGAGGAAAGCTATCTTTCATATTTTTAAGCACTTTAAAATGAGTTTTTTGTTATTTAGGGCACTAAAGAACCATATCAGGACACCTTGTGCATTACAGTAGTAACAGTAACACGTGTTTCTTCTGTGTTGGTGTGTTTTGTGACTCTGTAAAGTGTTCTGTATGATTTGAAGAGCCAGTTTTGCTTCAAGCCTTTACTCTAGCTATGCAGTCAGCTCACAGCGACTCCTCCATGTGTTTGGCTATAACTTATCTTAAGATTCACTTGATAACTGTTGGAGGAACTTTATTCTTTTGTAATTTTGCACTTTATTTTTGGATGTAGTCAGAACTGCCTGCTACTGCCATGTTAGGGCTAAACGGACGTTGAATTAACTAGAAGATATTAAAGCAGAGATAAACCATGTTCCTACAGAGTTATTGAAACCATCAGCCTTGTGAACAGCGTAACCTCGGCCACGTACAACCTCCTCAGGTACCTTTAAATCCTTTATGTAGGCTGGACAGCTTTCAGAGAAGAAAAACAGTCCTAAACAAAAAAGTTACCCGATGACAGATTTGTTCCAGCAAACAAAATAGGCCTTTGAAGAACTTCATATCTGTCTTATTCAAATGTTGTGCTATCCCCATCCAGAGAAGGTTGATTGTTGGTTTTAGAGATACTGTAAGTCAGAGCTCAAAGCTCTGGTTAGGAAGATCAGTATCTAAAGGTCTCCGTTTGATTCAAGCAGCGTGTTTGAAAGTTAATGACCTTGGGAATAACACCTCGTCACGATGCAGTCCTAACAGCAGCATTAACTGGTCTACACATTTCAGCTTCATCCTCGGGTCAGACTACACCATCTTTAGGTCTGTTACCATTGTTACTGCGTCAGATTAGGTGCATAAATGTATGCCGACAGACATGAAAGACTACACGGTGGTACCCAACGAATCGTCACGACTGATGTGATGGTATTGGAAAGGCAGGCGGGGCGGAGCTTGAAGACACCCTGAACGAACACAAAAACAAACACAAAAAAAGAGCCAGAGATCAACTAACTTTACCTCGGTCTCATAGTTCCATCTCACAGCACCAACTTCACCTGCTCTGTGCTCTCATTGGACAACAGCACTGATGTGACAGAACACATAGTAGAAGGTGGAAAATACAATCAAACATACTTTCTGTCGGGAGGTCGTGAAGCGTCCTAGACGTGGCCTTGATTGTTGTTCACTTTGACACACTACACGGGATAAAACAATTGATTTTCGGGGCAGAAGGAATCACTACGTCTGCCTGTTGAGGCTATAATCGAGTTTAGTCTGACCTCGGCTTTAATACATTAAGCATTTAAATGATCCACAGCACTTTATTTTAACAAACTGCATTTGAAATAGCCCAAGCATCTTGTCATCTGTCCGACAAGTAAATCTGTACTCTTACATTGAGGCTAAATAAATCAAAAGAGTCATGCTAGTTAACGAAGCAGTATCCATAAATAGTGTATTTTCATGTTATTAACAAGGTATTGTAGTGGTAGTAGACAATTTATAAATGCTTGTTTTCTGAATGGAGTTTGGTGTGGAGTTTTTTAAACTAAAATAACTGAAGAAATAGGTGATATAATGCCTAAATAACAAACTGTTGTCCATCCCTTTGCGTTACCATCAACTCTACGAAGAGGATATATAAATATGATTAACTAACTGTTATACTCGTATCGAATGATGCCTTCTAAAATGTATTTACGTTTTGTAATTTGTGCATTTTCTACTGTTTCTACTGTTTTTAGATATGCTGATGTGTACAGATGTGCCCTGAGAATTGTTTTGTTTCACATGAAATTTGTGAAGGCAGATTTGCTCGACCTAGCCTAGAGCTAACTGTAGCAACAGGGCTAAGAGCTAATATCAGATACTTACTGTTTTAGGTGGGTATAACTCAATAACCACAAGGAAATTACTATATTATTATCCCTGGATGTTTACTGCATCAAGGGAGGACCTCTATGGAGTTTAATCATTAGATCATTGTTCAAAGAACTAGCTTTAGTGCCAGCTAGCTCTGGTAAAGCTTACCCTAGTGTAGCTAGTTCTGGTTAAGTTAACCTTAGTGTAGCTAGCTCTGGTTAAGTTAACCATAGTGTAGCTAGCTCTGGCTAAGCTAACCCTAGTGTAGCTAGTTCTGGTTAAGTTAACCCTGGTGTAGTTAGCTTTGGCTAAGCTAACCCTAGGGTAGGTAGCTCTGGTTAAGTTAACCCTGGTGTAGCTAGCTCTGGTTAAGCTAACCCTGGTGTAGCTAGCTCTGGTTAAGCTAACCTTAGTGTAGCTAGTTCTGGTTAAGTTAACCCTGGTGTAGCTAGCTCTGGTTAAGCTAACCCTGGTGTAGCTAGCTCTGGTTAAGCTAACCTTAGTGTAGCTAGTTCTGGTTAAGTTAACCATAGTGTAGCTAGCTCTGGTTAAGTTAACCCTGGTGTAGTTAGCTTTGGCTAAGCTAACCCTAGGGTAGGTAGCTCTGGTTAAGTTAACCCTGGTGTAGCTAGCTCTGGTTAAGCTAACCCTGGTGTAGCTAGCTCTGGTTAAGCTAACCTTAGTGTAGCTAGTTCTGGTTAAGTTAACCATAGTGTAGCTAGCTCTGGTTAAGTTAACCCTGGTGTAGCTAGCTCTGGTTAAGTTAACCCTGGTGTAGCTAGCTCTGGTTAAGCTAACCCTGGTGTAGCTAGCTCTGGTTAAGTTAACCCTGGTGTAGCTAGCTCTGGTTAAGCTAACCTTGGTGTAGCTAGCTCTGGTTAAATTAACCCTAGTGAAGCTAGCTCTGGTTAAGCTAACCCTAGTGTAGCTAGCTCTGGTTAAGTTTACCCTAGTGTAGCTAGCGCTGGTTAAGTTAACCCTGGTGTAGCTAGCTCTGGTTAAGCTAACCTTGGTGTAGCTAGCTCTGGTTAAACTAACCCTAGTGTAGCTAGCTCTGGTTAAGTTTACCCTAGTGTAGCTAGCGCTGGTTAAGTTAACCCTAGTGGTAGCTCTGGTTATTAAGCCTGTGAAACGACAAAACTCTGTTCTTCAGTCTCTTTATGAATATTATATAGTTTCATTGGGTGTAGCTAGCTATTTTTAAGATAACCCTGGATAACCTAGCTCTGGATAAGATAACATTGGAGTCCAGCTTACCTGCTTTAGCTAGCTCTGGAGGCTTCTCGTCAGCAGTTGGGTTTCATAGTAGCCTCTATGAAAATAATCCAAGAACATCCAATGTGTTCAGACCGGGTAAAAAACAAGATATCACCTAATATCATTCAGGCTTTTATGACTTTTGCAGATTTGTCTTGAACAGCAGTTGCACCACATTAATGATATTGACTGCAGCTAGCTAATATGTTGCTAGCTAAAATATCCAACAAGTGTATTTGTGTTGATCCCAAACCTGGACATCAGTACGGAGCCTGGGAGTTCTCATGGATATGTTTTTACTTTATTTTTCAATGTGCGCGCTTTCTTTTTTGCATAAGATCACAGGGCTGACATGTAGAGACAGACAACCAGCCACACTCACATTCACACCTATAGGCAATTTAGAGTCACCAGTTAACCTAATGAGCATGTCTTTGGACTGTGGGAGGAAGCTGGAGCACCCGGAGAGAACCCACACATGCACAGGGAGAACATACAAACTCCATGCAGAGAGGCTCCAGTCAGACGGGATTCAAACCAGGGACCTCCTTGCTGTGAGGTGACAGAGCTAACCACTGCACCATCATGCAGCCCTGTGTCTTATTACTTGTTTTATTTATTTTAATAGACACATCTGTGCGAGTTACTCCAACAAGCGTGCAGTTTATAAAACAGGTGCATGAAATGGAAAGCGTGCATGCTTAAAAACAAACAAACACATGCATGTCACCTCCTGGCCTCCGTACATCTGACCTCATTAAAAACAGTTTCAGCACCGAAGAGGATGTTTTATCTAAAGAAGAATTTAAAGTCTGCGGGCACATTTTTCAGCTACATTTTCTCCGCTCTTGTGTCCTGTCTTTTATTTTGAAAATGGCCGTCAGTCCACTTTAGCTTTTATCTTTGTGATTACATGCTGAACTTGAGAGTTCGTACTGGAGGATTAACCCTTTAAACTCATTTTACTGTAGCTTCTATATAGTTATCATACATGTTATTAAATACATCACGCCTTCTGCATGAAAGATCACCTCACTTAAACGTGATTGATATGATTTCTGTCTCTTTAGCTGCCTATCAGTCTGCTTGAACATATCAGTGTTTAAATGTCGACAGTGCAGATGCAGTAAGGATGCA